AAAAAAAAAAAAAAAAAGAAAAGAAAATCCACAAATTGTCAGTAAATGGATTGACTCTTGTCACAGAGAACGGAGGTTGACCTGGCATCCCGCATCCTTAAGGGCCCGAGAAGGGCCTAGCAGCCTGGTGGACAGTGTCTGTTCGTGATGAGAGGCTGCATAGGCCTTCACTCTGTGTGCCGGCTGAGGAGCAGGACTTTGGTCTGCTCCGAGGACAGTCCCATGCGGACAGAGATGCCGCTGCTCTGATCAGGCCTCGGATGAGTGAGGCCCGGAGACCCCGGTGATCGCTTCGTGATGTCCCCTCGGAGACTGAGGGAAGTTTCCATGTCTGAGCTGAGGAGGAGGAGGAACCGGGAGGGATGGAGGGAAGCACCAGGGGCGGAGGTGGGGCGCGCTGGTCTTGGCAGTGAGACCCCCACACGCCAGCACCCAGCACTGCCAGGAGGTCCCGCCGCCCGGCCGCCCGCGCCTCCGAGGTGGTGGTGTCGGCCGGGCCCTGCTGAGGCCACCGTCCAAGCCACCCCTTACTCTCTTGCAGCCGGTGATGAACAATGACAAACACTGCTTCGAGTGCTATGGGTACGACATCATCGTCGACGACAAGCTGAAGCCCTGGCTGATTGAGGTAACCGCGCTGCTGCAGCCCGTGGGGCTGCTCGCCCACCCAGCTGCCCCTGCCCTGCCTCAGGCTCGGCAGGACTGGGGCAGATTCGGCCGATGAGATGTAACAGGGACAGATAGTCAGGTGCGACAAGCTTGCTGCTGAACAGTGAGCACACTCCTGATCTCTCACCTGCGAATCCAGCCCACGGAGCCGGCTTCCCTCGTCCGGACGAGCTCGGTGCCCTGGTGCTCCCAGGTGCTTCCAGAAGCATCGTGCCCCGGAGGCCCTGCCCTGTCCTCATGGGGACATTGTTCCCATTCAGGAAAGGATCTCCCAGACCCGGAAGCCTGTGGGAGGTGGTAGCATACGGTCCAGAGATAAGGGATGTTATCTTTTTCCGACCAAGGCGTAGTCTGGGAGTGGATTCATCTGCCTGTTTCCGGGCATGGACGGGATGCAGCGGTGGCTGGCCTAGGTGCTCACACCCTTTCTCTGGGGACAGGCCCGGGTGATGCTGGCCTCAGCCGCAGTGGCGCTGGCATGCACGCCCGAGGCCCAGAGCCTGCCTTGCTGGGGTTGCCCCGCTTTGCTTTGTGGCCAGACGGAGGAGCTCGGGCCTCAGGGGACACAGGGTTGGACACGCCATGACAATGCGGGCCGTCTGTTCCGTTGGTTCATTTCCCTGCGTGTGCCTCTGAGCACCGGTGGAGGTAGATGGCTCAAGCCTTTGAGCTCAGTCCCATTTTGAGCCAGGAAAGCGGGGTCTCAACAGGAAGTTGTGAGTGGCAACAACTTGTAGGGAAATTCACTGGGAGCCCTTACAGGAAGCTGCTGGGAGAGCCAAGTCATCAGAGAGCAAACTGTTCCAGAACAGTGTTTTCCAGGTTACTTCTTTTACTGCCAAAGCTGCGAGTGTGTGGGTGTGTGGGTGTGTGTACGTGTGCGTGCATGCATGGAGATATATGTAGATATCTAGAGAAATCTGCAGATGCATATATAAAATATTTATGCATTCTCTTTTTCCATTTTAGAAGTCCAGTACACTATCCATTGTGCTACAGAGTGTTTTTTTCCATTTTAAACAGAGTAACTTGAATGGAAGTCAAACTTTCCTTGATGTGCTAGATCATAATTGTGAATAATACTTCTATCATAATGACAGATCTTAATCTTAGCATATTTATAATAATCCTGGCATTATGATATGCTAGCGTAGTAATTCCTTTTTTTTTTTTTTTAATATTTTATTTATTTATTTGACAGAGAGAGAGAGAACACAAGTAGGCAGAGTGGCGAGCAGGGGCAGAGGGAGAAGCAGGCTCCCCGCCGAGCAGGGAGCCCGATGTGGGGCTCGATCCCAGGACCCCAAGATCACAACTTGGGCCGAAGGCGGACGCTTTACCGACTGAGCCACCCAGGCGGCTCCTGAGTGTTGTATTTTCTTTATGCTTCTCCTCCGAGCGTTGAAGTAATCTAACTTCCCGCGTAGGTATAAGCTCGGGTTTTGCCGCTTCTGCACAGTGAAGTACACCCCGAGCACCAGCGAGCTGGACAACATGTTCGTTCACCTTACCAACGTGGCCATTCAGAAACATGGGGTAAGTGCGTCCCTTCCGTCGAGCTGAAGGAAATGGACCCTTTTGGTGGGTTTCATTCTATTTGTGTGAGAGGGCAGGCGGCTGCAGGAGTGGAATTCCAGATGCCCTGGCACTCAGCAGGAGCGGGGGCCTCAGTCTCTGGCGTGGCTGCCCCAGCACATCAGTGAGGCCGGCCTCGGGGGGGTGGCTTGGGGAGAAGGAAAGCCCCGGGATCAAGCCCTGCCTTCTGGCTCCGTGACCTGGGGCAAGTTAATTTGACTCTCCGAGCCTAGCGTGGGTTTTTCGCTTGTAAAAGGAGATAATGTCACTCCCTCGTGGGAGTGGTGGGAGGACGCATGACTTGCTGAGCACCTGTCTGGGTTGGTGCCCTGCTGAGTGCCGGGGCTACACCTATGGCCAGAAACTAGCTGGGTCCCTCCTCGGGGAGCCTAGGCCTGTCGGGGAAAGATAGGTGTCAGGGAATGTGTCATCATGAACCGAGGTGCGAGCTCTGAGGCTAGCGAGTGCACATCTAGAAGAGCGTGGGATGAAGGGGTCCCTCGTCCGCAGGGCTGGAGAAGACGTCGGTGCAGAAGTGGAGTGGTGCTCGAGCAGAGACCCGAGGTGTAAGCGGGGATTACCCAGGCCAGAAAAGGGTGTTTGGGCGGAGGGTACAGCGTGTGCCGGGGCCCCATGGCAGGAAGGAGCACTGCAGCGGCTGTGAGCAGGCCAGGGTGGCTGGAACCCCCAGAGCGATGGTGGTGGAGTCGGGTACCCGGTGAGGCCAGGGAGGGCCCAGACGCAGGACGTCATAGGTTCTGTGTGGGCTTTGGGGCTTTACTCTGGTCCTAACAAAAATGTTCGGAAGGTCTCATTTCTTTATGAGAGGGTCTTCTGTTTGGACCTTGCTTGATTGGAAGCCTTGAGTACCTTGGTCCTTTTTTAAATGTAATTTGAGTGGAAAGAGCGTAAGTGTTGATAGAAAACAAGCTTTTTTTGAGCAACCTACTGAAGGGTTTGGTCAGACCAGCCTGGGCTCCATCCCCTGTCCATCCCTTACCCTCCGTGTAACTTGGGCAAGTCACCCCGGCCTCCCTGGGCCACCTCGTCTGCAAACAGGAGCCCTGGAATTACCTTGCTGGTGACCATTTACTGAGGGCCTCGATAGTCTTCTGTGTGAGGCCGACCCTGATTCACTGCCCAGCAGGTTCCCCTGAGAGCAGACTGGCGAGCACCACTGTTACACGTTCAAGGTGGGAGGAGCAAGGGTGGCTTGGCCAGAAGCTTATTCATAAGAATTGGGAAAATGAGCTGTCACGGGACGCAGCACCAAACTTACCAGCCATTTGGAGAAAGCTGAGCAATGACATCAGGCCCTTTGTCGCCAAGTAGCCCGGTTAGTGAGGTCTGGGTGCGGGCTGGGAGATGACAGTGCCGACCTGAGTCCGCTTGGTGTCCCTGAGCATGTTGGCCTGCCAAGCCGCCAGGGGGTGGGGAGGGGGGTGCTGGGGAGCCACACTGAAATTGGGAGGGCTCCATTCTGTAGGCCTTCTCAGGACACCAGTCAGCTGAGTCACTATTTCATCAATAAGAAACAGAAACCATTTTTTTTTTTAAATCCGTGGAAGGGGGGAGCAGAAGGCAGGCCTTTTAGCTTGGCATCTCTGCAATGCACCAGAAGGCTCTGTGCTTTCTTTGGGTTCTATTTGTGAATGCTTCGCTTGTTAACGTGAGAAAGTGCTTACTCAGAGAAACCTAAGTTTCAGTCCCGAGTAGAAGCCTCGCATGGCTCTCATTAGGCTTGCGTGAAGGACAGATGTTGTACTGGACACTGAAATGTTAAAGCGTCTGTTGGGCACATCTACCCAGTGTCCCTGGGCGCAGGGCACAGCCCGGTGCCTGGGTCAGAGACTGCGAAGGGGCATCCCCACCCTCAGGAAACTCAGGGACCAGCAGGGGAGGCAGATGGCAAAGGACAGATGATGAGGGAGGCCTTGGGGCTGCGGTAGGGGCTCAGGTGTGTGGGAGAGGCCCACTAGGAGGCAGATGGATCCAGCAGGCAGAGAAGGGGATGGAAAGAGCAGGGGTGCATCCTGATGTGCGCAGTGTTTGCAAATTGATTGATAAGGTATTCTGAAATAAATCTGATAAAATAATGTTCCAACAGTCCAAAAAGCAGGAGATGTTTCCTGCTGTTTATATCTACACATGTGTATTGTTTCTTTCTTTCTTTTTTTTTAAAGATTTTATTCATTTATTTAACAGAGAGATACACAGCGAGAGAGGGAACACAAGCAGGGGGAGTGGGAGAGGGAGAAGCAGGCTTCCTGCGGAGGAGGGAGCCCGATGCGGGGCTCGATCCCAGGACCCTGGGATCATGACCCAAGCCAAAGGCAGACGCTTAACCGACTCAGTGACCCAGGCGCCCCTTAGTTCCCACTTCTCATCTTTATACTTAGGAAAACGAAGCCTGGTCTCATAACCTCCTGATGTACTTCAGGATTTTCTAGCTTTTGCCTCCAAAAGAGAGCATTAGGTAGAGAGTCAATGTTTAGGGTCAGAGGACTAGAAAGAGCCGTGGATGAGGGTGAGAAAGCCGGGCTCGGGTGCCAGCTCCCTCGTGGCCCGGGTAGAAGCTCGGGCAGGTCACATAACCCCTCTGAGCCCAAGTCTCTTACCCACGGATGGGACATTGTGAGGACTTGCGTGTGTGGTGCTCTTGGACTACGGTGCCCAGTACCGCGTGTGGCTTCTCTGAGAGCAGACTCACAGGCAGAGATGAGTGTGCAGGGGGTCTGCTGGGGCAACGGCGGGGGAGGGGTCCAGACAGGGCAGAGGGAAGGTCGAGCTGGGACGCAACAGCGACAGGGTGCCTGGAGCTGGGTGGTCCTGCAGAGTCATCCAGGATGGATCAGGGACCGAGGGACCCTGGCATCAGCCTGTAACAGGCTGCAGGCTGCCAGGGTGGGCATGACCTTGGACTGGGCTGCTCCTGTTACCCAGGGGCAGCTCCCAGAGATGTCTGGGCTGGAAGCTGGGGTCTGGGTGGCACTCCACAGCATGCATTGCGGGCGGTGAATTACTAAGTGTGAATGTTACTACTAGAGGTGAGTATTTTAAAACATACCCGTATAGGGGGCCCCAGCACACATTCTAGCGGGAAAGAGCAGGTGCTAGATTCCTCAGGGTGCATTGCCTGGAGCCCTGTGCCCTTTCCCACACCAGGAAGACTACAACCACATCCACGGGGGCAAGTGGACCGTGAGCAACCTGCGGCTCTACCTGGAGAGCACCCGAGGCAAGGAGGTGACCGGCAAGCTGTTTGACGAGATCCACTGGATCATCGTGCAGTCGCTGAAGGCCGTGGCGGTGAGTGCCTGGCGGGGGGCGGAGCTGGGCTGGGGCCTGTGAGCAGAGCCACTGAGTGTGGGCGGCGGGGGATGCTTGTTCTTTTGCCACAAATACTTGTCTTTACGGGCTCACCTCCCTCATGTCCACGTGTCTGCCAGAGGCCGGGGCAGTTTCGGGGAGGTAGTGGGGCCGGCTTCCAGCTGGGTGCTGCCCAGGGCGTGCCAGGTGCCAGACGAGTCCTGCTGGGGTCACCAGCAGCTCTTCTGTGCCAGGGGATGGAGGAGGCCCACTTTGGCGTGAGCGGACGGTCAGAGATGGCTCGCGGTGGCCTCCTCGGGTTTAGGCCTCCTGCTCTGTGACATCATGGACATCCAGACACCCACCTCTCCGCTTGTTGCCTCAAGTCTGCTGTTTGTTGGCTGGTTTGCAGTTTTTGCTTGTGTTTTGTTTTACTGTTCCAAAGCAGGCGGGCATCTCTTTTTGAGGGAAAGGAAAGAAATAAACACCAGGCCACCAGCATGTGGGCCACTGTGTTCAGAGCTTCACATGTGGGCTCCCAGATTCTCATCACCCTGTGACTCATAAGCAAAATGGAGGCTCAGCCCTGGAGCGAGGAAGTGCAGGGACAGGCTCTGGGGCCCAGGCCTGCCGAGGGGGCTCCCAACAGACTGGCCCACTGGCTATGGGACCTGAGGGCACTTGGCCTGGCCCTGGGCGTAGGCAGCAAGTCCCGTGGAGAGTGTATGCCCAGCCTCTCGGAGCCTCGGAGGCCTTCTCTGTGAAATCGGGAGACGGTGGGGTGGGAGGGTTGGAGAGTTAGCAACTTCCTGTCCAGCAGAGGCTGCTGGGACAATGGTGTGGGCAGGGGCTGGGGGTAGGACCCCAGGCTCTCCGGGGAGATGCAGTTCCACTGACTCCCCTGGAAAAACAGCCGCCTAATTCTTGGCCGCCTCCCCCACCTCCCTACCCCCCAGCCTGGTTTTCCTCCAGCGGGTAAGCCTGGACTGGCCTGTCTCCCCTCAGGAGTTTCAGGTCTAAGTCCAGTGTTTGAAGAGCGTCCACATACCCACTAATGTGTAAAAAGGCCTCACTGTCGTGTCTGTCGTGTCTGTGAGCTTCACTCACTGTGGGGTGCACGAGCGGCCCCAGGGCGCGTGTGATGTGGCTGCTTGCTGGGCCTTCCCACAGGTTTTGATCCACGTAGCCTGGGCAGGGCCTGGGAATGTGCGTTGTGAGTGGCTAGCAGGATTTTTTTTTACATACCTGGAGAACAGTTTATGAAGTGGAATTGAACATTAAAAAGAAAATCCACAATCGGGCTCCCTGCTCCTTGGGAGCCTGCTTCTCCCTCTGCCTCTCTCTCTGTCTCTCATGAATAAATAAATAAAATCTTTAAAAAAAAAAAAAAA